TGAGTATCAGAGAGTTCCATCTCATTTCCCTTTGGGGTTGCTGTAGGTGATCTGGAAGTCTGGTTTTGAGACTCATTTACATGTTTTCTCATTTCGACTGGGGCGGGGGTCTGTTAGCGCCTGCACAGGTTACCTCCTCTGAGCTGGGAGAGGTGGGACAGGGGCCGGGAGCAGCAGTAGGGATGGTGACCCAAAAGCCCTTTCCTGTGGGCTGGGAGCAGCGGAAGGGATGGTGACCGGGAAGCCCCTTCCTCTGGACCAGGAGCAGTGGGACAACGGCTCAGAAGCCCCTACCTCTGGGCTGCGAACAGTGGGACTCAGTACCTTGGTCTGGTGGTCTGGTGTCCTCTGCATCTTTGTAGTGTGGAAGCAGGTGGCTGCCTGTCTGCAGTGGGGTGATTCGGCATTTTCTGTGTGACTCAGGACCTCGGCAGGGCATGCACAGACCCTCCTGTGTGCAGCGGGCTGATTCGGCGTATTCAGTGCGACTCAGGACCTCGGCAGGGCATGGGCAGACCTGCCTGTCTGTAGTGGGCTGATTCGGCGTGTTCTGTGTGACTGAGGACCTCGGCAGGGCATCAGTTTATGTAGTTCTTGATTCTAATAACATTGTCAACATAAACCCAGTCTTCTATAAGCAAAGTAAGGTAGAACTTCTTAAGCATCTCTGTCTACTTATTCCTTGAGAAATTCCTGCTTCTAATAAATATTTGGCACTTGACCACACATGTCTTTGGCAGCTGGACTGTAAAAGAAAAAGGGCCTGTGGTTTCCAGATACAGTGGAGGGAAGAAAACTATGAGGACGAGGACGGAGATAGCTGTATGGTAGATGTTTAGTTAGCATTGTCTCATTAATCCTTATAATTGACAGGTGATTATCATCTCCATTTTACGATGAGGAAACTGAATTTTAGGGTCATGAACCAACTTATTTATTCATTTAACTGTGAGTAGCACAGATTCAAACTCAGGCCTCACTGGCCTAAGTGCATGCTCTTCACTTCATTTTTATATTGAAATTAAAACATGCTGACAGCTAGAAGCGAATACATTTGTAGAAGGCTCTTATTTAATTTAATTTCCTCAATTCTGTCTGTGGCAGGGAATCAGGTCTTTAACTTATAAGGAAACTTACTTACTTCTGAACACTGATGATTATTTCCAGACTTCAGTAGTTTTGTAGCTAGGAGAAAACTTGCAGATGACCTGCTTCTAATTTAAGGATAAAGAAAGGATAAAGAAAATAAGATTCAGAGAGAACCTCAATGACTCATGGCAAGCCAGCTCTCCTTATCCATGTTCAGTATTCTGTCATCCCAGGCTCCCTGTCTTCACCCTCAGAAGCCTGTTATGATAATGAAAACACTCTCCTTACCACTCAATGGCATCCTTATGAATATATGTCTGTATAAACATATAGTATGTGGTACATCACTCACACACCTACAGAGTCAGCCCTCTGTGCCTGCAGGTTCTATATCAGTGAATCCAACCCAGCACTGATGAAGAATATTCTAAAAATACTCTGTCTTCTCCTTGTCATTCCCTAAACAATATAGTTTAACAACCATATACATAGTACTTACATTGTACTAGGTATTATGTGATCTAGAGTTGACTTAAATTACAAACAAAAATATGCATAGGTTATATGTAAATATTGTGTCATTTTCTGTAAGGGACTTGAGCATATGTGAGTCTTGATATCTTCAGGAAATCCTAGAATCAGTTCCCCAAAGACAGTAGGAAAAGTGTGTATCTGTATGCGCGTACACACATGCACACACACCCATATATCTTTCTGCCTTAAAGTAAATAGTGACAGAGCTTGACTATTTATCAGTTATTCTTGAGGCCTCGCATGCCTCTTGTGTCTGTCTTGCTCTAGTACTTTCCTTGTTTTTAGCATTCTCTTTTTCACTCAGTTTCTGTTGCTAAGTAGAAAAGCACATCATCAAACATATAAAGCCAGGATTAATATAAAAATTGAGGCTGAATGAATGTTTGAAGGAACTTCAGTAGATAAGATGGATATGCTTTTATATGTGGTTTTGTGACCGATTTTAGTTTTTAGAAAAGGAGTTGTTTTTCTGATGCCATTGCTTTTGGTTAGTGTTGCTCTGTTTTGTTTGTGTTTGCTTGCTCGTTCTAGGTTATGACAAGGTTCATGAATAAATCACAACTGAATAAAAATATGAAGAGCTGAATATATTTCCATCATCACATTTCCAGTCTAGAACACAAATTCTATTTTTATATTAGAATTTAATTTTTTTTCTATTATAGAAATTATGGCTCAAAAAGTTGAAGATTTTGAAATACAGCCACAGAAGCCACTTTGAATTTCTAGCCTCCTACTGTTGTTTCATTGGAATCTAATGAAACGATAGGTGATATACCTTTATGGAGAAAGCACCATTGCTATGTACCTTAATTCAGCTCGGCAGCAGAGGTGATGTTTGCCACATCCCTGAGTGCTGAGATGATTAAAGTGAGAGTCAGAAGTCTCCATGTCTCTCTAATCCAGCCTAGTTTAAACCAGTAAGCAGATAATACAAGGGTTTAGGGGCTGATACCAAGCAAAGCAAAGCAGCTTATTCTCCATTTCTGAACATTGAGTCACATGAATCAAGGGCAAATAGTGACAACATAGAGTTGTGTTACAATATCTATTTTCATGTTTTTGTACTTTTGGTATCTTTATTATTATCAATAACTGGGGTATTTGATTACTGTTGTGGAATTCTGGAAGCTTGATTAAAAACACCTCCTTTCCTACTTGAATTCTGAACTGAGAACAACAACTGAAGAGATAGTCATATGTAGGAGTCACAAAATGTCCTTGACTGGTAATAAAGTTTGTTATTGAAGTGTTTGTACACAGAGAAGCTTTGCTTTGTAAACACAGTCCTGAACATGCCAGCTTACCTGCTGGAGTGGACCTCTAATCCATCAGCTGAGTTGGATGTGGGCTTCTAACCAAAAGAAAAAAGGATAGGCCCTGTGGTCACCTTCTCATTTCCAACTTATTCCTGACTGTCTTATAAGTCAGTCAGCTTCCCCAGAAAAGTTTAGGGAGCAAGTTTAGGGACAGAAAGAGGCAAGGAGATGAAGCTAATGGTGCTCCCTCCATATGTTAAGATACATGAAGATGGAGAAAAAAATCCCCAAATATCAGGGTTATACAAGTATGTGGATATTTCAAGTCCAATATTTATTGTTCTATCTGTGAACCAGGCATCATATGTGTTGTACATTTAACGTCAAAATACTTTACCTCACCCAAGCCCCAACCCCAGAGCCACAAGGAGCATTTTAAAGGAGTTTTCATAAGTATTATTACCACAAATTTATGGATGAGGAAACTAAGCTTTAAGGAAGATAATTATTTGCTCAAAGTAGCATGAATAATAATTAGAAGTGCTGAGAGTCACATGCAGACCATAATATACTTTTTATTAAAACTCATTTTTCCTTTATTCCCCAGTTATTTCTCATCTTAATAAATCTGTTGGTATTTATCAAAGCAAATTGGATTTCGACTTGAAAATAATTCTGAGGCTGCATTGATATAAAGTTTAGGGTGTATAATTCATTGCTACAAAGTTTAGTCTGCATTTCTTTTTTAGCTTTTCACTTTGAAATGATTTTAAACTTACAGAAAAGATGCAAAAGTGACACAGAATTCTCATAGACCCTTTATTCAGCTTCCCTTAATTTTAACCTCTCATATAATCATAACATGATTATCAGAACAGGAAATTGATGTTGGCACAGTGTTATTGACTAGACTCCAAATTTTATCCAACTTTCACTGAGTTTTCACGACAGACTATGTGTTCTCTAGGCCAGGAATGGTGTTATAGTCATTTTAATATCCCAAGTGCCCGTCAGTGAGTCTGACCTGTAGTTGGTGGGTGATTGTGGAATGAATAAACGGATGAATGGATTTTAGATCCAGTACCAATGTTTTGAGGTATTTTTTACATGTGAATACTTCTCCAGGTGTAGAAAACACCTGAGGAAAGTCTGAGGTTATGATTTGAATAAATGTTTAGAACAAAGTTCTACATTAGACTTCGTGAAGCGCAGCCCACTAGAACTGTGAAAAAATTTCAAAGCAAAAGAGAACATAACAAGGTATAGCGCTGGGGTTTTAGCTCAGTGGTTTTGTCGCCTGCTGCGCAAGCACAAGGACCCGAGTTCAATCCCTGGTACCAAAAAAAAAAAAAAAAACAAGGTAGAAAGAGACAGTAGAATCCACTACTTGACCATTCATTTTACTCTGCATGTGCATGTGCGTGTGTGCATGTGTGTGCGTGTGTGCGTGTGTGTGTGTGTGTTTCATCTCACATCAGTCACTGCCTAGGCAAGTGAAACAGCAGTTCCTGCCAATCTGATCTTGATGATTTCCTGGCAGGTTGCAGAACTTTAATGGTAAATCAAGTCATGAAAACTTTCTTGCTTGAAGAGGAATCCAAGCAGATACTTTTAAGCTTTCTATTTCCTTTCACACTGAGTTCAACAGAGATAATGTTAATCAGGGGTGAATCTGCTGTAACAGTAGTTTCTGACAACTTCAAAACTAAACACTTTTTTGTCTCAACTTTTATAGCCAGAGAGTGTAAAACCAGGAGAGAGTAAATATTCAAAGCACAAAATTCCTATTAGTAGGTGAATGAACCTCCAAATGGCATTTTCCTTGCTCTTTTTTTCCATCTTCTGTCAACCAAACTTGAAATATTAATGTGACAGATTCTAGGAAGGAAAGAAAATGGTACTGTAGTTATGAAAACTTGGTACAACATTGTTATGAGAACTAATTGTTCTCCAAAAGTTCCACTTTCTAAAGTTTTTCATTACTTTATCATTTAGATGGAAGATGTCATAGCACGCATGCAAGATGAAAAAAATGGAATTCCTATCCGTACTGTCAAAAGCTTTCTTTCCAAGATACCTAGTGTCTTCTCTGGTAAGTGTGCATTCAGCATAGCTCTATTTTCTCCAGTACCTTTCATATAATTACTTTCAAAAATGTATTCCAGCCATGTTCTGTTCAACTCTCTAACTTATTAGTCAATAACTCTTGAATATGTTATTCCTCATAAATACTTGAAATGACAGTAAAACAAAACATGAAACCAAAAGTCACGGCCCTGGTTTAACTTAGTTTGTAAAGGGTGAACAAATGTGAAATAAGAGAAAACAACAGAATTAATATTAAATATAAATATATGAAACAATATCAAATAGATCATGCATTGAAGTTAAGATAGTCCAAAAATTAGTGAGAAGTCAGGAAAAGGTTCCCAAGCCAAGGGATGTGGTGAATTTGAAAGATGTGCAATCGTGTCACCCTGGGACCATGGCCACTGACACCTGTGCTTGCCAAATTGAGCAGTGACCAGACTGCAGGAACAGGGAGGAGAGACAGGGACTGGGACAGACTGAGGATCTCTGAAACCCAACCAAAGGAATCTAATTTCTGACATATGGGGGGTTTACAGGGACAGTCACAATTTCTGTATAGAATATTATAGTGAATGTGCTCAGGATTAATAGGCATTAAGCCAGGGCTGTAGTTATTCTGAGATGTGCAAAGTTCTTGCAGGAATAGTTTGAATGCCCACGGTTCTGACAACCAAGAACTAAAGCACTGAAGAAGGAAAAGCATGAGGATTTGGCAAATATGCAGGAGAAAAGAGGACATGGCCCAACATTTTTGTTTTTAATTGGTTGATCAAGAAATAAAGGAGGGCCAGGGATTTAGCTCAGATGTTCCACCACCTGCCTCGCAAGCTCAAGGACCCAAATTCAATCCTGGTGCCAAAAAAAGAAAAAAAAAAAAGAGAGAGAGAGAGAGATAAAGGAATCATTTCCAGAAATAGGGTAATTACAGGTTTGGATAGAAGTGGCTAGAGGAATCCAAGAAAAAATGGATGGTTATGGGTTAAAAATCTGTGCTGTGACTTCACAAAGCAATAAAGGCCTCTGGTGTGGGGATTGGGAAGTGGTAGGTCATGGCACAGGATAAGTTAGGGAAGAATCCAGGCCAGATGGACCAAATTGGTGGCAGTGAGGGATGAGAGAGGAAGGAGAAAGATCCTGAGCATGAGTGGGAGGAGCTTGACAGGAGTCCTGTGGAAGGAGTGGGATGCTTCCCCATTAGCCAGGATCCAGGCAAGACCAGGATCCAAGAACCCCAACCACAGAAAGAGGGTGTCAGAATCAGCACTGGAATAGCAAATAAGCAGGTCCAGATATTGGGGTTTGAGGGTTGTGTTGACCTCAGAAGACAGGGAGCTATGAAAAAATTCTTGATTGACAACTTTAAGATCATAATTGAAAAGTAGGATTGGACATACAGATTGAGAATAAACCCTGAAAATCCATTACCTTTTTTTTTGTATTAAATTATTTTATTGGTACATTCACACAATTACATTTCTCATTGGGAATTGTACCTTTACATAATGCATCTTGGTTCTTATTTTTTCCCCATTCCTAACCCTCCCTTCACCCCCTCCACCCTTCCCTATTTACAAAGACTTTATTTCTATTGTTTTCCATTTCTCATCATTTTTCCTTTCCCTT